CACATATATTCCTTCTACTGATCGTGGTTCAAACTTATCTTTTCTCGGTTTTTTATCCAAAAATGCCACTTTCGAACCGAACTTTTTGAAGTAATTCACATTTGTCTTTTTCTTAGTCCACTTTTCATAGTGTATAGCACCGTTCAAACTGCTCGTTGGACACCGATTTCTTATGTGGCAAGCAGTGGCAACTGCTTCAGACCAAAACATCGCACTAAAATTTGACTGCAACAACAAACATTGCGCCATATCAAGCAAGGTACGATTCATTCTCTCACTCACTCCGTTTTGTTGAGCAGTGTGAGGTACAGTCAATCGTCTTCTTATTCCATTTGCTCTCAGATATGCGTCAAACTCTTGATTACAGTATTAGCGACCGTTATCCGACTGTAAACGTTTTATTTTCTTGCCGGTCTGTCTTTCAACGAGTTGTTGATTCATTTTGAACGCCTCGAAGACACCACACTTACGCCTGAGGAAGTAGACTTCACACCACCTCGTACAGTCGTCAATAAATACAACAAAATATTTTGCTTGCCCTGTCGATTCAGTCTTAAACGGGTCAACAACGTCCGAATGCACGATGCCGAGTATTTCTTTGCACGGCTTGTGTCCCTTTGGAAATAGTAACGCGGCCATTTTCCCCTTTTGGCACACTTCACAACGCGATAATTGTGTCGCATCTTTCATATTTACATTTGGTATGAATCTGTGGCGTACAAGTTTTGCAATGTCTTTACCATTCAAGTGTCCTAGTCTTTGATGCCACAATAACAACTTCGAATTAACTTGCTGAACAGACAATGCTTCAGTACATTCAACATCTTCGCGTAAATAAAATAGATCACCTTTCCTTTTAGCAATCATAACAACCTTTTCTTACGAAGTCCGTCCTTAGATCGGGCACATACAGTGTGTCGCGTAACTCAATCAACTTTTGATCTTGAGTACTCTTTACCAATACACGCACGTTGCCTCTTCGTCGCACCTTAGTCGTTGCTCCACTCGCGAGATTTAACTTAATATCAGGAACTGTTTTCATGGGCTCAAATAACGCTCTATCGCCGCATACATGTCCGCTATCAATAATCCAACTTTTGTTGATTGTTTTTGTCGCGGTCTCGTTCGCACTCGTATGCATCGTCAATACTGTTTGCCGAATGTTTTGATTTGCTGCTATTCTGACTTGTACACGCGTTAGCCTTATGCCCCTTTCTTCCGCACTTAAAGCACTTAAAAATAGGTTCCTTTCTGCGTCTTTGACTACCTTTGCTCCGTCCAGCTGTCATCGCAATGACATCACTTCCCGTTTCTTCCTTCTTTGACTCGTTGTGTTCGAGGATTTTGACTTTCAGCTCTTCCGGAGACGGTAGAATATCACGCGTCTCTATCGCTGTACGAAATCCTTCATATGAAGCTGGGAGACTGTATAGCAACACGATTGTTTGTAGATTATTGCTAATATTCTCGCCCATACTCTTCAACTTATCAACTGTGTCGAAGAAATCATTCAAGTGATCTCGGACGTCATCGCCTTCACCTAATTTCCTCAAAGGCAACTGCTTGAGTAATGCGGGTCCTGTCGATGCATGAATGCTCTTCAGCTTCAGCCATACATCCCTCGATATCTCGCAATTCTTGATGTCTTTCAACAAACGCGGTTGAACGGACAAAATTACTTCTGTCTTCGCCATGTTGACTTTTTCCTTCCAGGATTGCATCGCTTCCGTTGGCGCGGCACCCATTCCACGTTCCGGTTTAATCAGCGATCCATCTACGTATCTCCACAAGCCATTTCTTTTTAACCAAGTTTGCATCTGTATTATCCACGTATCATAATTGCCTCTGCATAATAATTCTATACGCGACGTTGACGATACTGGCACATTCGACACCATCTTTTCTAGTATTTTTTCGCGACACAAGTTCACGCGAAAACCGTAACTTCTATTTTCTATTTTTATTAATTATGTGTATAGGCATACACTTGGGCCCATAACCTGTTGGTGAATATATTTGGAATATATTTTATTAGAAGTTATTTTTATAATCAACAACTTAACTATCTCTTTAGAGATAGACTTAGATTGACAGGCGAAGCCTGCTTACAAATTTTATTAGAGAAAATAGTGCGCATTTGATCATTGGAAATGTAGTTCCAGCACTTTTAATGCACTGGTTACGCGAAAACACTGTATACTTACTATATTATAGACAGCGGCGTTGTTACGTTGTCAGATTCAGTGACGTAGCTTGAATTTCCACCATCTGGGGCGAAGCCTAAATTTGCTGCCCTTTCCATTTTCTTTTATTTACTTTTTCCGGTCTTTTGTTTAAATAGAAAAACAAATATTATAAATTTTTCTTCAGGTCGTGTTGTTATTATTACTCATATTTCATCTCTAAATTATATAGCAATGCTATTGTGACATCCAAATTGCAAAATACGTTGAAAACTACAATTCTAATTTTTAGATCCAATACAAAAATATCTCTATGACTACGATGTAATATATAGGCGAAATCTATAGTTCACCAGATGATTCCTGTTTCTGCTTCTGGGATTATTTCGATTTCAGCTGTTATAATCGTAGGTATTCTACGACGTACAGCTGAACCAAGAGGTGAGCCCTGATTTCAAGAACCGCATTCGGCAAGAATGGTTGGGATAAATATCGAAATGTACAAAGGGTTGGTCATTGAAAAAAAAAAAACTTTTGGGTGTTTCATTCCCACCAGCCAGTAATGCTGGTGGGCGGGCAGTCCCTCCGGACTATGCCGGAAGGTAGGGCGGAAGGCCCTCTTCAGCCTGCTTTCAGGAATCGTGGGAATGGGTGGGTGGTGGTTCGGGTGAGAAAGATGAGACGGACGAAATGAAGACAGAAGAGAATGAAAGATTATCTGTGGAATATTACTGCCTCAGCATTTGCCTAAGTGATCCAAGGAAACCACAGAAAAACTTGGACCAAGGCAGACGGACCCGGAATCGAACCGGCGTCCTCCCGAATGCTAAGCAATGGTCTAGACCTCTAGGCCATGCCGCTGGGTTGGTCATTGATAGCACACTACCTATATGTAATTTTTCCAATACGAAAGTTTCCCTACATACAGCAGCTCGAGTTCTATTCATTTTTTCTATTTTGAAGTGAAACTTTTTTATCGACAGTAGGAAGGAAATTTACGGGGGTATAAAACTGAAAAGTGGAACGTCACGTTGAGTCACAGCATCACGCGCCACGTGTGACCCTTGCTGGATATGTCCAAAAGGAGTTATCTTAACAGGTTTCAGAAGCTAACTTGTTAGCAACCGATAATCCGAAAATTGCCATTTCGACAAATTGTTAATAGATCGCGCCTACGCTGTACTGTATATGTATTGCATATGTGTTTGTGTTTGTTTCAATTTGTAATTGTTGTCAGCAGTTTTTTTAACAAAACTAAACCAATATTCCGCATTCATCCACTTGAAATAAATTTGTATTTTTCTGGTGTTTAGTTAATGCAATAATTTAAGCCAATTTTTTTTAAATGATACTATAATGTACAATCTAAAGAAGTTTCACTTCTTGCGCGTGCACACTAATACACGCTCGCCCCTTTCTTTTTTCGCTTGAAGCCACCGAAAAGCTCGCTGTAAATATTATAATAAAGACGAAGAGCTTCCCCAATATCTATTTAATATGTAGTAACTACCTTCATCATGCCTTACATATTAGAAAAGCATATATCAAATAATATCTCTAACTGCATAAGGAGCGCTTATGACTCAGATGATCAGATGACGGTAAGTTATCGTTTAGTACCCATTCCTGATTACTCGCGCATGTAGCTGTAGTTCCAAAGTATCAATATGTAATTATCCAATCCCACAGTCATTGTTACTCGATTGGTTGCCTGTAGGTTGATGAAGTAAAGTTTAGTTAAACTGATGCTATTCTGATTCGGGCCTTAAAGGCCGTAGTGTGTTGGAGTTGCTTCCTAACGTTTCACCAGAAGACCCGAACTAGAACAGCATCAGTTCACCCACTGACCGCGAAAAAGCCTTTACCAATTTAAATTTTAGTTAATGATATTTCGGATTCGGATTTCTAGAATAATCGTTCACGAGCACAGAGTGACTCATTTTGTTAAAGGCGACTCTAACCTGCACTATCCTCTGCTTTATATCTCTATTGCTTCGTCCATCCTGAGTTAGCTGATTCCTAGGTACCGGAAATCAGCTATTTTTTTTAACTTTTCGTGTCCTATCTTCATATTCACTCTTTTTCGACATTTTTTCCCTTGCATATCAATATTTTTGTTTTACTTTTATTTATTTTCATACGATACTGGCAGTGACTGTACGAATAACAAACTACGTCATAATGCTTTATGACCACAGCTACCAAACGCGAGCTTCCTATCGTCGTTATATCATCCGTATTGCTGTTGTTCTTTATAGCTTAGTGGTAAAGTACTGTTGCGTAAAAGTGACTATGGCAATAATTTTTCCTTATTAATTTGATGTTATCTCTAGTGGGTAAAATTAATTCAAAGATTAATTAACTAATAACTTCAATTGACGCATCAAAATTCAATGTATCTGAAGGTATCTTCTTGTAACATGGGCGAAAATAAACACTATTTACTCTTATGAAAAGTCAATACTCCCCTTGGTTTTTGAAATACTGAATATAAATGGAAAAAGCCGTAACCTTATGCTTCTAAACATATCCGTCAAAGATAAAAAGACTGCGACTTCGATTAGATTTTAGTGGATTTACCAGCACTTGCGGGAATTTTCATGTTCGGATTCGTGCTCAGCACACCAAAGCAATTTGAAGCTAAGTAATCCGTCTACAGAAATGTCGTCGCTTTCTCAGTTCTGTTAGTTTACACCTATTACTAAATAAAATCCGGCAAAAAGCCTTCACAATGGCTTAAGTGTTCTGCATATTGTTTACAAAATATAGTAAGTATATATGTACCTATACAATTAATAACTTATTTGCAATTATTACCTCGTATATCGTCAACGCAAATGCGCAAATCTTCTCGAAACACCGGCAGATGCTTGTGACATTGGCACTCGCAAAAATTTTCCAGGGAATTTTCATTTTTCATGTCCAATGTAGAAGCTGTACCGCTACTAATTCCCACGCAGGTGTCCTTATTGCATTCCGTTCCTAAAACAATTTAAAAAATGACAGAAATCCTAGATAATTACAGAAGTTACGTCAGTTTCAGTAAGAAAATTATAGATGGTAGAGATAAGAGGAACTAATTCAAATGGGGGAAAAATTAAAAAAGTGTCCAGCTATAAGCAGTAAATAATAGTATAGTTCAAAAACCATTTAAAATGGCGCTAGCGTAGGCAAAAGGCTATGAGCAGTTGTTGACGGATTGAAGTATGTAGAAAATTTATACTAGATATTTTTAGTGATTAGAGTAGTTAGTGACAGTCCAGTATACCAAACTTCAACTATTTACGTAGTTCAAAGTAATTTTGTCCTTGTTTGTTTTTCTATCCTATTTTAATAACTTTTGGTTACTTCTACCCTCTATAAAGAAAATATTAAAAATTGCTTAGCTGCCTGAAACTTATCCAGCTAATATTATACTGATTATTTTTACAATGTTGTCACACTTGAAGATAACTTTTCGAAAAGTGATGCGCACTGAAAGTAGCATATTAAGAATCAAAAACGAATTTTACATTTTATTTTAAATTCAATCCATTATTTTTAAGCGGCTGAATAGCTAACGTAGAAAATCGAGATATTTGCTACTCTTTTTACTTTGCTTTCAACAATCGTTACGAAAATCTATGTAATGACAGATTTAATACTATTATTATTAACTGTATGTAGTATTCCAAAATTATAGGATAGGATATTTCTGAAAGTAGCAAGCTTGTAGTCATTATAAAAGGTCTACTTTTATTCAAAAATTCAAGAAATTAGATATACTCAATATCAGTGCTTATTTAAAAATACAAAACAAGTTGATGTGGTTGGTATTTTACCACAGAAATGAGAAACCGTCTCTTATCTAAATTCGTAGACGAAGCAATTCATTTAGCAAATTCGGGAATTTAATACTGCTGAAAAATTTATTGTTTTAAAATTTAAATTATTATTTATTATGCTCCCCCAAAATATTTTATTTGAAGTGTGACAGACACCGTTTTAATACATGGACCACTAGCACATACCAGCATTAATCTAGTATTTGCTTTATATTTCTTTGCTCATGTACTATTTATTTATTAGATTAAAGTAAAAGTTGTTATGATAATAATGTGACAGGATACGTATTTACGGGTTTGAACCCTTTCGCCGCTGTAAGGACGAAATCGTCGATTGTGCGGTTGTGCCTATGGTATACGCTCCTAGGTGGCAATCACATTGTATGTGAGTATCTTCTGTTTGTTTAGTTAAAATTTATATAGTTGATCGCACATTAAAACAACAAGGACTTGTTTCTTAAAGAGAAACCAGACTAAGACAATTCCCTGAAAGAGGGCAGCAGCTGTTTCAGTACTCAGAGTGGCAGAGATCACGAGGACCAGTATGGCAATCTGATGCACAATACTGCGATGTGGAAGGCAACGGAGCAAAGCACCACATTATGATATCCCAAGAAAAACAAACCGAAATGAAGTGATGGTGTACTCTGGGGTAAAGCACTCCGGACGTAAACTCCATTCGGAAGTCGGGGCGGGGACTACCTCGGGGCATGTCATCAATAAGTGCAATAGGGGTAGGTGCAATATCTTAGGAGTCGGAGCGTGGAATGTTAGGACAATGAGGCAAATAGGGAAATTAGAAAATGTAAAAGTAGAGATGGATAGATTAGTAGAGTAGGTATTAGTGAAGTACGTTGGCCCGAAGCAGGAGACTTCTGGAGTAGAGACTTTAGAGTAATACATACAGGATCGGTGGAAGGTAATTCGGGGGTAGGAATTGTAATGTGTAGGAAAGTAGGACAGAGTGTAGAGTTATTTACAAAAAAGCGATAGGATAGTCATGGTTAAATTAAACTCGAAGCCGGTAAAAACGATATTAGTGCAGGTCTACTATGCCTACATCATCTTACAGTGATGAAAACGTCGAAGCGGCTTATGCAGATATAGAAGAACGTGTTAAGTTTAGTGTAAGGGCAGGAAATCCTAATAGTTGTAGGAGACTTCAACGCAGTAATAGGTGAAGGTAAAATGGGTGCAATAGCAGGTTCCTTTGGATTAGGTAATAGAAGTGATAGGAGAGATAGATGTTGCGATAAACATAACTTAACCGTCGCGAATACTTTATTTAACCATCGCGTTAGGAAGCGCTATACGTGGAAGATGCCAGGTGATTTAGGGAGATATCAGGTAGATTACATATTTGTAGTATTTGAATTATTATAATATGTACAGTTGCTTGTCCAGGTGCGATACCAGTTAGGTGTTGGTAGATCGATAATTTATTTTTACTTTCGCGTGCATGTTGGGGTACGTGAGAGACCACTAGAGTGGAGAGAGTAAATGACGATCAAGGTATTAAGACGTTGCTGTAAGACGGTACATTTTATTTAGACGGAGCATTTTTGCCAAATCAAAGACGAAAGACGTATTTTTGGCTATTAATTAAGACGTGTACATTTGAAGATGCGATACATTGTAAATAAGTTGTTCCTGATATTTAGTTCTGTTATTCGTTTTGATGTTTGATGTTCGTTGTTCTTTTTCTTCATTATTAATATTATTATATATTTATCAAATCACCCGGAGACTTATTAAACAACCCCTAGACACGAGAAAAAGCCTACATTTTCGGAGCCTTGTCCGGGATTTGAAGAAAATTGAAGAGGAACATGATGATGACCAGACTACCCACCATTTTGTGACCAGACTACCATTTTATCACGTATGATGTCATGATTGTACCATTGTGCTTTCTTATTAAAGTGAGATGTTACTTTCTGATGACATGAAGGTAGGATGCATGTTTATTAATGGAATTTAAGAAGCAGACGACCAAATTTGTCAAGTTTATTTCAAGTCTGACTATAGTGAATATTGTTTGGACTAGTTTTTCAGAAATAAGGTAATTTTTTCTATTGATGTTTATATAAAATTAACTGTGTTGAACTTACATGATTAATTATCAGTGACATTATTATCAGTGCACCCATTTAATAACGCTTTAAGTGATTTTAGTAGAATATTATAGAATATTCCTTAAACGTTACAGATTATTTGATCATTTTATTTTTCGTTCTTTTATTTGATTTTATCTTATTTAGTTATTAGAGTAAGATAACATTCCTTGTAAAAGCTTGATGTACTAATACCATATTAGTTTGTAAGTTGAGTTGTGTATAAATTTATTGTACCGCCCAAAATATGTCTTCGCTAAGTGATTTCGAGAAAAGCAATTATAACGTATCTCACAGTCATTTAAAGGCAGTTAAGGCCTTACATTTAGTAACATATGGGCAGGCAGTTCCACCACGTATGACTCGCAAGCAGTTATGTGAATTTTCCGGATTTCAATTGAGTATAAATTCGAGAGAGTATAAGGATAAATTGGAATATATTAAAACGAACATAAATGTTCCTGATTTGGTTTCTATATGTCACATATTGATTTAAATTACCAAGGATCTCCTGATAGTTTAGCGAATCGTATTTGTTCCTTTTTAAACAATTTACAAATAGACGAAATGGACGATACCGATAAAGAGCAACAAGAAGAGGAGGAGGATGACGAGGAAAAGGGAGATGACGGCCCAGACGAATCTGACGAGGAAAGAGAAAAATTACTAAAACATAATAGAAAGAGAATCGATTCTTTTGCACTTACGTTTAAAGAAATAGAGGATAGTATCAGACCCTTCGATGGTAAATCTGATTACCCTATTGGCAAATAGATACAAGATTTCGAGGAAATCGCAGAAGTGACACAATGGAATGACCTTCAAAAATTAATTTTTGCGAAGAAATCGTTGAAAGGATTAGCCAAGCTATTCATACAATCTGAAAAAGGGATTAAATCATGGTCCGTGTTAAAGAAGAAATTAATTTCACAATTCGAAGTAAAAATAAGTAGTACACAAGTTCACAGATTACTTATGTCGCGAATAAAGAGTCGTTACAGGAATATGTTCTAATTATGCGTGAAATAGGTAGCCGAGCAAATATTGAAGATGATGTTATACGAGGGTGGATTGATAAGTTTCCGGCCTAACCAAGAGATGACGCCACTAGGCCTACCTTGAGGTGACATTCTATAGTACCATCCTTGGATAGCTTGTAGCTATAGTTTCAGCCCGATCTCCTTGCTAGTGTAGGTTTGACAGCACG